TCTCTCTCTCTCTCTCTCTAACCCATTTGCACAGACAGTAACTCTCACCACACATATCAAGACATTCAATTCACACACACATAAAACTGGTCACAAGTGATATACCGGTGCAATGGCAACATCGGTGAACAGCCGGCGCACAGCCGGGAGTCGACTCTCGGGCCGGTCATCGGCGGTGAACTGTTCCAGACTCAGCCGGTTCTGTACGAAAGCCACGATAGTGTGGCCAACGGGTAGGTACCGGTCGCCGAACGCCCCGGAGTCCAACTGGTGTACAGTCGACGCGCGTTCACCGGTGGCCAACACACCGGCGCTCAGGTCCCCGGTGTCCGCTAGTGGTCGCTGTTGCCATAGCAACACTGGGACCCCTATCTCGCCTCCCAGTGCGCCCGATGTTAGCCATAGGCCTGTGATTAACGTCAATATGTTTGCGCCGATCATCGCTATAAACGTGTGGCTTATGTCCGGTTATTGTGGGTATAGTTGAGTGACTATTAAAAAGTAAATTTAATTAATAATTTTGTTAATAATTATAGTAATAGTTAAGTAATAATTACAGTTAAATACGTGACACACAAATTAACAGGCTGTTTAACTTATCAACACTATTTATCATCGTAGAAAAATAAATACGCCCAATGTAATACTGATATACAGTTGAGATTAGTTACATGTTACATTTTATTTTAATAAAGCTATTTTTGGTAATTAAATTAGTTAGGCATAATATAACATGATTTATTAAATATATCCACTAAAATTAGCATGAGTATTTAATTTTTAAATTGATAAGCCATGTCTACTGAATTTATAATTTTGGTTATCTGTACGGGATGTTGATTGTGGTTATGTTGTGTGTTGTCAACTGCTATACTTATAAAGTTAGGTCCCATTTATTAATGTATGACTCATATGTAGACGTGTGAACACTAGTCATAAAAAGGCACATTATTTCTATCAACACTAATCAAGATGGTTTGTTTATCAATTACGTTTTAAATATAATATTATGTACGTTATTATTAAAGTTAATTCAAAGTTTATAAAAGTGGAAATATTTATAATAATCAAGATAATTCTTAAATAATTAATTATATCTCACAATGATTTAAATTTCATTTATAATTTTATTAAATTAAAAATAAGCATTCATAATGAGGTTAATATTTTAATGTCTACAAAGTTATAAAATTAAATCTCAATAAGTTTGAAAAAGAATGCGATTAACAACGATATAATCTGAAATTAAATTACAAAAATATTAACATGATCAAATAAATTATATACAGTTACACTTACTTCATAGCAACGAAAATGGGTTACAATAAAGAGTTTCCAACACCAGAAACCTACTGTATTGTCGGCTAATCGTTCGCATAGACACAGCAACTGTTAAACAGTGAAAAATTATCATGATATAAAATCAAAACATAATAGTTAATCACGATATATGATTAAAAATTTTATAATTAACGCAAACATTTACCTTAATCTTAAGACATATACACTTATAGGTAACGCCTCTATGTCTGGTAATACGGCAACAAAAGCCCGCCAGACATTTGGACAGCCTTTTGGCACTGGTATTCACGCCGGATGCTATCCATACGTTTAACGCGAATAAATTGACGGCAAATATAATGGCAAAACCGACCATTAATTTTGTGAACATATCCATTGACACAAACAATATCACGTATAGGGATAGCACAGTGACGGAGCCCAACACCGACCATACAGTAGCCAAATATTTTGACCAATAAGTGCTATTATAGCTGTCAGTCTCGTGGCATACGGCCTCTGCCTCCCTGACCATCGCCCATACCTTTTGATCGGTGGTGAGTCCGGTCGGGACACCGGTCGGACTCGTGTCCCACTCACTAACCCTATCGGACAACGCTCGTAGCCTTAGCCCCAAATACTTTGACACGAGGTAAAAGTGTATCAATAGCCACATACTAATACCGTAGGCGTAGTACGAGTTTAGACATGTTACCAGACCGTGGGGCACACCGTATACCAGGGTCTCCCACCAGGAGCAGTTTAGTAAATATGGGGAAAAGTAGGCTAGACCAAATACCGGTGTTACAAACTTTGTTAAAATATCGCAGCAGTTAAATAGTAATCTAGCTTCTTTAGCTAGCCGGTTTAAGCTAGATAAGTTTTCGATGTTTAATTGTATGGGAGTTATATTGCCTGCTAGTACGCGGAACAATAGCAAAAATGTTGGTTTTACATCATGGTAAGAGTTGTAGAGAAATATCTGTTGAAATATGATAGCTTGCAATGTCCACAGGCATACTGCCACGTTCAAATGTAGAGGCATTTTGAGCAGGTATGCTATGTCACCAATTAGTAGTAGGGTCTGCCTTTCCGTACTGTCCCTACCCGGCAGTAGCACCGGTAGTATTGATCGTATGGCCACTGACCACAATAGTA